CGTGTGAAATCTAAACAAATTGGAAACCTATTAAAGCCCGTGTGAAATCTAAATAAATTGGAAACCAATCAAAGACCCTGTGAAATCTAAATCAAAAGATGTGACCTCTCTGTTCTAACTACATACCTAGTGATGATGAAAACATGATATTCTAGCAAAGCAGTCAAACCGACATTCAAGATTTGTTGGAACTACTAAAACAGAACGATCAATATGACAATGACATGAAACCTAGGACATTCATCATACCAAAACTTATCAATCATTTTAAATTTTAAAAGTAGGATAAAAGTTAAAGGTCGACCTTCTCATCGATGAGGAGCATCTCCTCTCTGATCAACACTTTGGAACGCGGGTTTTGAGCCTTCCAGATATGGATGAGACAAAACCGCAACTCAGCTTCGTGTGGGCCATGAGTTAGGTCGGCGAAGAACAGCATCTCCGGACCTTCCTTATCAGGAACAACACCCTTGCCGTGACGTTTGGTTGCAATCATGGAGTTGAGAGAGCTTTGGCTGATCGGTTTCACCATGAGTTTGGAGGAGCCACCGTCTCTGGAATCTGTATCTGGACAGTGACGTTTCGAATCAACCGGAGTGGATGACCCATCGGACTTGGAGATCTTCTTCTCATCGACGGCGGAGGAGTGCTCGTTTCGTTTCGTTTCTTAGACTTGCAATCGCCGGAGCTTCGAGATTGTGCTTTGGATGCCATCGGGTTGAACTCTTGAGATAGGTTTGGGAAATAAACAAAATCTCATTCTCAATTTATAATGAGTTAGATGGATATGGAGAAGCGAAGAAACCATTGAACGTGAGAAAAGAAGAATTGTAATCGTGGAGGAGATAAATTTCAAAACTGATTTGTAAAAGGAGGAGGTAAAGAGATGGGAAGAAGGTGAATCGTGAGAGCAGGAGTGAAGCAGCGGCGACGAACCAAAAACCTAGGAATTAGCGTCTCTCTTGAGAATAGACATGGGCCTGGTGTTTAATTTTGTATGCAGCCCAAAAAAAATAAAACCCAACCGTAAGTCAACATGTCGCTGACGTGGACCATTCGTTCTCCCCTATTGGTCGATTATTTATGTCGACGTGGACAGCCTGAAATCCTTTTATATGGCCCTTTTAATCATAGTAGATATCACTGAGGATTGCAAAACTAAGAATTTTTAGTGTCGCTTATAGATACTTTATTTTAATTTATTAGTAAACAATAAATAACATTTCTATGAAGAAATCTAGACGTTTTTTTTGGTAACAGATCTAGACGTTTTTTTTTTTACGTAACTGTATAAAGTGCGGGGTTGACAAAATCTATACTGAAAAAGTGATGAACCTATTTTTGTAAGTGGTCAGGGAACACCATACTAAAAATTCCTAGGAAGTTTATTCTTCTCTAGCTGAATTCTTTTTTCGTGTTACAAAAAAAGAAAAGAAGCTGAACTCTTTTTTTCTGTTTTATTAGTTTCGTTATCGTGTGTATTCACTCATCATACTCCCTTTGAGCAGCGTTCTCGAAGTCAAATCTATATGTGTAATACTTTTCCTGTATTTTTCTAAAAGTCATATCTATGTGGATAATACATTGCCTGTATTTATAATTGAAAATATTATGGCAAACTTCATTGTTCAGTTTTCAGGTCTAGTAAATAACGTACTATGTTTGCCATAAAGGTTCTTGCTTCAACAATCCTGATTTATGACTACCGCTACTATACCAAGCCTACTAAATTCTCGATATCATTATGAAACATCAATCTTCTTCATGGAAAAACATCCATCAATCTTTACCAAAACTCGATTAATCCTCAAAAGAGTAGATATTGAATTTCTAGTTTCCGATTCCGTTAATACATAGTTAGAAAAATAGAAAAAGTGATCTGAAACATTTTGTAAGGTCCTGATCACCCACGTGATATTTTTCCTGTTTTGTCTTCACTCATAACCACTTTCTAATAAATCATTCATCATTCGGGTACTTTATAAACCATTGTTCACAAATTTTCAAAGTGGATTTTTTTAAAAGTGTATTAATTAATATTTGTTTTCAAAAATACAAAATATAACATATATAAAAAAAATAAAAATATATTATTTGGCTAATTTGATTGTCTAATTTATTTTAATAATATTAATAAACAAAAATGAGAAAGGATGTATAAACTATTATCAAATATTTATTATTTAAAATCATTAATTATCATATATTTTGATCCTATCAGGTAATTCCATTTTCTATTAATTTTTTATATTAATAACTAATTATATGATTAGTTTAATAAAAACTATACTATATGTTTAGATGGACCAATTTATTTTGTAAAGATATGAACTTGATTTTCGTGATGAAACGTGTCATGGTATATTGTAATTTTTTTTTTGACAAAGGGGTTTTACAAATATTGTAATGTTTCTTTTTTCATATATGTGAGATTTACTTTAAAGTCATATTCTTTATTTATTTATCAGACATAAAATGATCAAATTTGTCTTTTCAAAAATAGAATAGATAAATTAAAAGATAAATGAAATCGGCAAGGTAATATATATATATGAAATTAATTAGTTTAGTGTAATACGATCGGGGTTGCCATGGAATTATATTAATAATATACAGTAGGTATTTTATAATTCGCCTATATGAGGTTAACATTTCAGCATTTGGGTTTCTTAATCGCATTATCTTACTCCAACATTATGAAACCCGGTGGTTTAAAGAAAGAAGATCGAACTAGCTAGTCTTCTGCACTTTATTTTAACAATCATTTTCAATAAATGTAAAAAGAATAATCGGTTGAATTATATATTTTAAAAATAGTAGCCAGTTTCAAACAATTTCTCTTTAAAATTAATAAACTGATACAATCTCGGATGGCGTTAATTAAAACAAATTAGTGGCATAATGAATGAAAAATAAAATCACTTGATCGAGATCAAAATCCGAATTTGACTAGAGTACTATTGTGATTATAAACAATGGTTTGTGTAACATGTAACCATCGCAAGTATAATACTTTCAGGTAGAAATGTTTAATCCAGTAAAACCGAACTAACTAAAACCGAACCAAATCAAATAAAGAAAATAATTTGATTTATTAATATAGAATAAATGAATGGATAGTACTTTTAAAAACCAGAAGTATATAGATACAATTTGGTATATAAATCAATTAAATTGATTAAACAGAAGAAATTTATTAATTAAAATATATTAGTATACTAATATTTAAATTTTATAATTAAAGTATATTCATAATTTATTTATTAACAGTTATTCATATTCAAAACGTTGATTTAAGATTTTTATTTTATTCTTAGTTAAAAGATGATTTTGTTTTTCTCATTTTACACAAATAAACAAAACATAATTTTTATTTTTATTGGAAAATATATGTACTAAAATATAGTTATTTAATAAAACTATGATATTATATTTATACTTAATTTACTTTTAATGATTAAATAAAATATAAAATATTCTATTTAAAAGTTAGGGTGAAGAATATACATTATGTTTTAATAAATCTGATTTCTAATCATATAAACTAAAAATGGCTATAAAAGGTACGGTATATAATTATGATTTTTGGTATAATATCTAATAAACTAAAATTTGGTAGTACATAAACCGAATTCAACCAAGATATATATGATATTGATATGATAATTAATTTTTATAAACTGAAATATCGAAAATGCAAAAATCAAACCAAAACTAAACTAAGATTGGACACCCTACTTCAGTTTTAAAATTATGAAGCGAATGGCAGTAACTTAGAGGGAAAAAAACACATGATTATCAAGAAGAAATAGTAATAAGTTATTACCTTTTGACCAGGGAAACAAAGTAGTGTTTGTTCCTTGATCCTTCATGTGAACATGCTTGAGTTGACTCTGAAGGGTTAAGGTCACGCCGGCGCATTCCAAGGATCCTTAATTAGCGCTGAAGTAAACCTCTTAATTGTCGTGACTCGCTTAGTAATCCCCTTTAAATAACATAGTTAGTCAATTCAACGATTCGTTAATTATAGTTATACATTTATTAGTGATTTGGAATGATAGCTAAAATTATCACTACGTGAGAACACATGAACATTGTCATTTCCAAACCATCGCAGTCCTTCAAAATTGAAAACCATATTGTATATGGCATATTCGTTTCTAGTATGGAGATATATTTATAATATAATACGGCTTCGAGCCTTCGACTACCCTAGTTTCAAATTAATTGTATCACATAGGTTTGAAAAAAGTCGTATCACATCCGATGTTTTGTTTCTATGCACAATTCCCTTTTTTAATCTTTACGAGAGAAAAATATCCGTATGCAGAGTCTCACATCGTAGAACCTTCAGGAACTTGTTATGTGATAATAACACCGTTGATTAAGCAAACAATTCTATATAATTCTTTTTACATGTTAGTGACGTACGATGTAAAATATCTAGCTCTTTTCATCTGAATTATTTGATAAAATAAAGCCAGACTTTAGTTTTAGTTCAACGAATATCGAACAATAATGGATCGATGCTAATGCTATCGAGCTTATCAGTTTAGCTGTATATACGAATGCACATATATAATATATGTTCCATGTTCTTGATATATAATATATTTTTAAGGTTATTAGATTTTAATCGTTCAAATAGGTTGTTTGTGTGTGAACCGGCCCAATCCCGGACTTGTTTGATTAGAAAATATTATCTCGAGAACGATTTCATTAAAATTCAGCTAAACGTTAAGACCAAGTCCATATTCAAATGATCATAGTATTTATCCTTAATCACAACTACAAGAAAAGGAATGGGTCATGACTTGTTTATAAAACATAAGTAACCTTAATATTGCCATATTTACACTATAAATACGTCTCTAAACCCTCTCAATTCTTCACACAACTCACCCCAAAAACACTCGTACACCAAAAAATATCAAAACATGGCGACACACAATGTTCTTCTCAAAAACGCTCTCATGATTTTCCTCTTCAGTTTAACCATCATGACCGAAACCGCATTTTCTCAAAACTGCGGTAGAACCGGTTGTAAAGGCAACATGTGCTGCAGCAGGTGGGGATATTGTGGCACCACAAACGCCTACTGTGGCACGGGATGTCAGAGTGGACCTTGCAAATCCAAGCCTAAACCTACTCCAACTCCCAGCGGTAGTGGCGGTCTAAATGCTGGTCCTCGCGGTACCATAGCGAGCGTTGTCACACCAGCATTCTTCAACGGCATCATGAGTAAAGTTGGACGTGGTTGCCCAGCCAAAGGGTTCTACACTCGCCAGGCATTCATCGCAGCCGCTCAATCGTTTGCAGCCTACAGAGGAACCGTTGCTAAGCGAGAGATTGCAGCCATGTTGGCTCAGTTTTCTCACGAATCTGGAAGTAAGTTCACCGTTTACTTTCTATCAATTTTTTTCATCAGAAAATATTTTAAATCTAATTTATAGTTATTAACATATAAAGTAATTTTTTAAAAAAATATGTGAACGCATTTGGTTATCCGTCTGTATTAGGGCTTAATTTCGTTAGTTGAAAAAATTTATAAAGAGCGGGATTCCTCATAAGATATATGGATTTTTTAGCTTTATTGCAAAAAATATTCCATTATATTTTAAATGTATACTTTAAGAGTATTTATTTAATATGTTGGACATACATTTCATTATTTGACATAAAAGTTTTATTCGTTGATGATGTAAAGGTTTCTGCTACAAAGAAGAAATAGCTAGAGGAAGATACTGCCAAGCTAGCACTGTCTACCCTTGTCAACCGGGAAAGAACTACTACGGTCGTGGTCCAATCCAAATCACATGGA